TCATGACAAAAAAAATAACAATCTAATAGTATCTAAACTATTGAATACACTTACATACAAACTTCATCTTAACTTCTGGAGAATTTTTGACCAGTACTCTATCAAACCCTGATTAACACTTTAGAGATATCAACTATCAATAATTTTCTTAACAAAATTCCAGATCTAAAGGTTATGAATTATATTAACAGATCAATTAAAACTCCTTTCAACAGACTTATCAAGAAATGCAATACTCTCATAATCAAAAAAGACTTTACTATTTTATGGCATAAATTAAAAAACCACCAACCTCCACCTCACACAAACACAAAGATTACACTAGTTTTCTAGTGTTTTCCTTTAATATTCACATCATTACTGCTAATCAACAATATACATGCAACAAATATTACTTACTAGATTAAATTCATAAATTATTACACAACCTCTTTGATATTTTTCTAAGCCATTCAGCTATATACAAACTCTTCTCCTTCAAAGAACTAGAAATCATCATTAAAGCAAACAACAAACTCAAAAAACCTAACCAAACAAAATACAAGGCACTATTTATATTCAGAACCAAACTTTTTGCAAATCAACTTCCAACCAGAATAAAACTTCACAAACACTATCCCAGCCTCTATTCTGACAACTTATGCCCAAGATGCAATGCACATCCGGAGGATCTTCCATATAATTTTTTTCAGTGCATACATCAAACTCCTATTAAATAAAAAGAAGCTTAAGTTTGAAAACCTTATCTTTGACCTCCACCCCAAAAAATATCAAAGAAATCAATTTTATTACAATATTCAAGTTAACAGATAGCACTTTATTGGACCTAGCCATTGGCAAATTTATTACCCTATTTAATCTTCTTCATAAAAAAGAACATATTTCCAACTATATACTTAAAATTTCACACAAAGCATGGAAGTTGAGATCTGCTACAGCAACAATTTCACCAGCCTATGGAATTAAATTGAAAAAATAGGGTTCCGAAAAAATACCGAACTGGTATCGAACTGGTATCGAAATGGTACCAATCTATAGTAAATTTAATATATGGGTTGTGACCTACTCATATGTTTTTATAGTAAATTTAAGTATCGAACTGGTATCGAAGTAGTATCGAAGTGATATTATTAGGAGCCCTAAGAAAAAAACAACTAGTATCAGTCCAACAAATACAACCATTAATTATAATTCCATATTTGACAAAATCTTTAATCTGCTAAATGCCACATTCAACTACACTGACAAATCAATTTTTACCCTTACAGTAATATCATTATTATGAAAGGGCATTAGCTATTCAGCACTATTGGTGTGAACCCACTTCTGTGGTAATATCTAGTATTAATAGTTTAGTTGCAATAGGCTACAATTAATTTACCTTATAAAGATTGTTAATGTAATAACAGTAAATTTTTATTTAAATAAAGTCTTACTTTTAATGCCCATTCGTAATAAAAAAAAAACAGTAAACTTTATACTGAAAATATATAATATGTATTTAAATATTCAACAGTATCAAAAAAATCTAATTAAATTATTAAACATATTAATCTTATTCTTTATTTTAACAAAGACTCAAAACTAATAATCCATATATGATAAGTTATAAAGCTGGCATGCAATATTATTAATAATATCTTCTTCCTATTAGACTTTAATAACTGTGTCCATGTATCAACTAAAGTTTTAATACAATCATATAATATTATATGAAAATCATAATATTTTATGATCAATATCTTTTTATAAAATAGTATGAAATAAAAAGAAAAGTTTTTATCAATATAATTAAGAACAGTTAAACAATTTTCAAATTAAGTTTGCAAAAATTTCTTTTGAAACAAAATCATCAACAATAATTAACTGATCTACTCTGGTTACAAAAATTTATATTCAAAATAATTTTAACTTTTTAAAATATATTACTAAACTAATTCAAGGCTATATAACTTTTCTTTTCTCTAGTATTGAGTAAGTATTTATAGCCACTTAGTATCTTATAACAATATATAGAAAACTCTTCCTAAATGTACTTCCTTAAAATCAAAAGCAAGTATGTATTTAGAAAAGATATGCATTTAAAGAAGAAAAATTTTTTTATTTAATTTTATATTAATTCCAGCTAATTATCTTAATTTTGCCTGACTTTATGTTAATTCTGGTCAGTTGTTTTGATTTTACCTAGCTTTATATTAATTCCAGTTAGTTATCTTAATTTTGTCCAGCTTTATGTTAATTCCAGTTATATTAATTTTGTCCAACTTCGTAAATTATATATGAAACCAGAAAAGTCTTTTTACTGTAAGAAAAGTTTCTTTCCTAACCTTTTGCCAAGCCAAAACCTTTCCTGCCACAAGAAAAGTCCTTACTAAACTGAAATTTTTCCACCGCTCTTTCCTAATATCTTACCGAACCAACATTTTCCTCACCATAAAAAAACTTTACAGAAATAAACAAGTGCTATTTATTCATTACGTTATGTTTTGGTCAAAGCTAGTCTGTGATGTGGGTAACAAGGTCTACAGGTCCCACATAAGGGATCAGTTATGTACAGTAAGCACCAAAAGTAAGGCCTGATTTTTTATTTTGCAAAAAATTTATGCAAGTACATGATTTTTTTTTTTTACGATTCATTAGTATTTTATAGATTCTCCATTCACACTTAATACTGCTTCTATTCTTTACGGCATTGAATATACAATGTCTCTTAGAATTTTTGTATCAAATTCTAACCACGCCTCATTCAGAGCTATTTTAAGCTTGTCTATAGTTTGTGAAGAGTCTTCATGTTTCTGAATACTATTCTTTAAAAGCTTCCAGATATTTTCTATAGGATTAAGGTCCAGAGAATTGGCCGGCCAATCTATAATATCAATTTTTTTCTCAGCAAACCATTTGGTCACTTTTTTCGTGGTATGAATCGGGGCATTGTCCTGTTGGAACATTACATTCTAACTTGACAATAGATGCACCATATTATAGAATGGAATAAAATTATCTTAAAGAACTTTTAGATAAATATTTGCTGTGGTTTTTTCCTTTTTTTTCTTATACTTATCAAAAAAAATTAATGGACCCTTTGTTTCTCCTGCGAAGCACCCCCAGACCATTAATGAATGCCTACTACTCTTGAAACTTGGTGATAAACAGTCAATATTGTATTGTTTGCCAGTATGACACCATACTCTTATTTGGCGTGATTGTTTTCCAAACTCAATGCTTGTTTCGTCTGAAAAAATGATATGCCACCAATCATATATGTTTCTGGTTTTATTTTTTTCACACCAATTTATTCACATGACCATATTAGCCTCAGACATATACGGTTTCTTTGCTGCTACACGGAAACAAATCCCTGCATTGTGTAACACTCTGGCAGCAGTTGTCAAACTGCAATTGAGTTTTAAATTATTGATAATTTCCTGTAATGGCTTGCGACGTTTCTTTATAGCTTCGTGTATGAGTTTTTTTTTTTTTTTTGCTTAGTAAGGACTTCAGGTCTCCCAGATCGCGGAAGATTTTTTATATTTTTAGTCTTTTTGTACTTGGCAAGAAATCGTCTTACTGTTGTGGGGTTACGTTCGATTTTTAGTACAACTTGCTCAGCGCTCATTTCTTCAATGAATGCAAGTATTTTTCCTTTCTCCAGGTCGGTTAACTGTGTACGGGAACATGTCATATCGAACTACTAATTTTTTTTTCTCGCGTTAAGTTGATAGTCGAAGGAATAAACAAAAAAAGAATAAGACCCCAAAAATGTCAAAATAGGGGTAAACGTAGTGCTTTTATTTGTTCATGTGATAACATGGTCAAATCGGGCGTTACTTTTGGTAATGACTGTACCTTCCTTGCACAACTGCCTCACGGGCAAGTGGTAGAAGTTTGTTGCCTATTGTTAGTTGAGCAAAGAGACGGTGATAGTTTATTCGAGGTTAACTAATAAAAATAATCATCGAAACTTTTTAATAGGAGCAATAGGTCTTAGCCTCGAATAAACTATCATCTCTTTTTGTGATACTTTTTGCTTTAGTGTATTCTGGGCTTCTATTACGAATCCCCTGTCATACTCATTTTTTTATAGTGTTGTGGACGTAATCAGTACAGTAATTGGTCGCAAATTCAGGGCGTCCTTCGCATTATGTACGATTAAAGGTAAATAATCTAAAGCTCTATTACTCTCGAGGTATTTTCGAGTCTGGATGGTTTGTAATTTTCTATTAACTATTTTATCACCCAGTTCCCTTAAGCAAGTTCGGTCCTTTCGCCTAGTCGTGTAGACGAGTTACAAATATTCGCGCACACGTGAAAAAATGTAAGAGTTATTTAACTTTAATGATTATTTATTATTTATTAGTTCGGAGCATAGTGGAGGACTATATATTTCTATACAATTTTTTAGTTCGGAGCATAGTGGAGGACTATATATTTCTATACAATTTTGATGAAAATGTCCATCTGTCCACCCCTGTAATATAAATATAAAATATATCATTTTTATATATTTATTTTTATATTATTAAAAAAACCCCCTGTAATTAGCAGTATCATTTTATCAATTTAATATTACATATAATTCTATATTTTTTTCGTCAATTTAATATTATCTCCTTCCAAGTTTTTTATTATAGGTCATTTATATAACATTTCCTCTATATCTCATTTGTCCTCCTTGAAGTCGATATACTGTTATTACTGTGAATATTTGGGCAATTAACATCTCTTCTATTTCTGAAAGTCCTTTAAGTTCTTCAGGCACATCTCCTGGATTCATATTATTTTCTGCTGAAAATTTTTTTGATAATAATTTTTCTGTATAGCAACTTCGGCGCTCATTACATACAGGACAGTTATTATACTGAATATTATTCATCTTAATATGGAATTTTTGCAACAAACTGTGTTCCTTCTCATTTATAATACTAGCTGATGGCAATGTAGGTTGATATTCTGTTGTCATTTTGTTGTGATTGTTTATTACTAATACGCAATATACGTTTTCACTCCCTTTTATGTAATTTACGACTTTGAGATTCCTCAGCTGTTTCCATTAATCTTTTTTTCTTTTTTCGCTCACGATTATTTACAAGTTGTACCTCACGATTTTCTTCTGTTTCTTTTGCTCGATTTTGTCGCTTTCGTTTATGATTACGTGTAAGTCGACTTTCTTGCCTTTTAATAGTTTTCTTTTGAGAATTAACATCTTGTTCATTCATTTTAAAGTCTAACATTGCTTTTTATCAAACACTTAGGTTATTTATAGATCAATCCAAAATCAGAATATTAACTTTTCGATTAAAGCTTAAATATTAACTCTAAATAATAATGTAAGTTTAATTATAGTTAAATGGTAACTATATAGTCTAATAATTCTAACACAGATAATTATAGTGGTAAATTATTATAGTTAAACGGTAACTATATAGTCTAATAATTCTAACACAGATAATTATAGCGATAAATTAATTATGGCGATTATATAGTTTAATAATTCTAATACAGCGGTAATAACTATTATTAATACAATAAGATAGTAAGTATTATTAATTATGTCAAATAATTTCTAACACTTATTATAATTTTTAATACACGAATAGGTATAATATTACATCATTAGTTTACATAAATGACTTCTTATAACTAGGAAGATTGCGTCAATACTTTTATAACTGGATAAGTATCGTTCTATAATGATTAAAATTAATATGACGAAGTAATATTTAATATGTATTAAATGTAAGAATAAGATTGATTATTAGTATTATAATAAACGAGAGATAAATATATCATGAGTAGAATTAATAGTGAGGTATCTGAAATTTAAGTCTTAAAAAAATATTTATCAATTTTAGAAATTTTTATAAAATTATCTTAACGATATATACATATATTAAAACAAATAACACATACTGTATATAGGACATGGTAATCACAAATTGCAATGCTGATACGTATAGATCATACTCCTGAGTGATCTCACAAACTCTTATTACTGTAGTCTGGAGTATAGTGAAGGACTATATATTATTATTTTAAAATGAACTAAAAAATTAATTTTTAATTTTTTTTAAAAAAATATTATATTTATTTTTTTAATTAAATTATAATTAATTAAACTTTATACTTTTTATTCATATAATAAAATTTATTATTATTATATATGTAATATTTTTAAAATATAATTTATTAACTATATTAAATCTATAATTTAATATTAAAAATTTTTTATAAATAAAAATTTGGCTCCGGACTTAACAACAGTTCCTGTTTCCTAGTATATATAATTTTTATAGATTAAATTTATTAACCAATCAAAAATTGCGTCACAATTGCTTCATTGCGTCACACTTGCGTCATTGTGTCACACTTGCGTCATTGCGTCACAATTGCGCCATTGTGGTATAATTGCGGCAAATCATATGATTGCGTCATAATTAAAAATAATTATGTCAAAATTAAATAATTGCATCATATTAAAATAATTGCGTCAAATTATATAATTGTGGCATAATTGCGTCAAAATCACGTGATTGCATCATATTAAAATAATTACAGCATTGTGGCACAATTGCGGCATTGCGTCATAATTGCGCTAATTGCGTCAACTATAAAAAAAACCATTTGACTCAATTACTAAATTCTTGATTTTTAATTGCATCTGACTCAATTCAATAATTTTCACCACATGTATAGT